CACAGGCCAACACTTCTAGCACATCTGGTCCGGTCTGATCCCCTTTGATTACTTTGGACTTGGGTTTAGGAACCTAGGGGAGAAAGGAGAAAATTGCTACAGCTTTTTCACAGCAGGAGCAGAACACTTAAACGAATCTTAGAAATTCGGAAATTAACTTCTTCATAGCATTAGCAAACTATAGGGGGGGAAAAAAAAAGACATTAATTCTCAAAGTATTACATCTCATACCTGGGGGAGGGGGAAGAGAGTGGAGCACCAACCCAAAACCCACAGGTGTGCAACGATAGCTATTAAAAGTAACATTAAGTGTAGACGAAAGCAATTCCTAAGGCAAAGATTGAAGGCTGATTTTTTTTTTAGTTCTGCAGTCTACCCAACAAGTACATGGGAACTATTCAATTCACCTCCTTCCCTCCTATAGCAGTAACACTCAACATTATGCTGACATCATTCTGACACTGGAGGACCTGGTTTAGGGTTTAGGGGTTCCAGCAGTGACAGGTTAATGGTTGGACTTGATGCTCTTAGAGGTCTCCTCCAGCCTTGATGATTCTAATGTGTGTGTTCAGCTGTATTACAGAAAAGGGAATACACTGCAGGAAATAAATGCACTAACCTCTAAGAATCAGGTTACTTTGATAGGGGAAACAGCTGAAGGTATACTTTTACCCTATTGGTGTAATTTGAAACCTTTTAAAGAATTTTAAAGAGCAGGTTTTGGTGAGCAAGGACAGTCTTTCCTTGGGTGTGACAAACACTAATTCATCTCAGGAATACAACAGTTCAACACATGCACAGCAAGAACATTTTACAGCAGAGCTGCAGGCTGTGGTTGGGCTTGATGAGCCCAGAGGTCTCCTCCAACCTTGACAATTCTCTGATTCTATAACCATTTCAAGAACTGCATTAACTAATGGGATAAACTGAGAACTCACTCACCTGGAAACTCACAAGGTAACACAAGGCTGCTAGTTCACACACAGCTCTCCACTGTGCCTCGTTGTGCTCAGCCATTTTCAGCAGCAGAGTCCCAGCATGCAGGTACAGCTGCCCCTTCATCTCCACATAGGTACGAGACAGCTCATCAGCCCCGTTCACATACGGCTTCACCGACTGAAGCACACGGTCAAAACTGAAATGCAAAGACTCATTCTAAGTACAGTGCAGGAAAAAGTTGCAGCAGGTGATTTTGACTGATGCTGTTTAACTGTGAATCAAGTAACTTCACATGAGACAATGGTCAGTACTGTTCCTACTGCTCGGTGGTCAGTACTTGCTCCTATTCCTACTGAGGCACTAGAAAACACAATCATCAGGCTGAGGGAGTTGGGGCTGCTCAGCCTGGAGAAAACTGTGGAGACCTCAGAGCAACTTTTCAATCTCTGAAGGGCCTACAAGGAGCCAGAGAGGGACTCTGTGTTAGGAACTGCAGTGATAGGACAAGGGGTAATGGGTTCAAACTGAAGGAGGGAAAGGCTACGCTAGATGCGAGAAAAAGGTTTTTTCCTGTGAGGATGGTGAGACACTGGCATAGGTTGCCCAGGGAGGCTGTGGCTGCCCCAACCCTGGCAGTGTTCACAGCCAGGGTGGATGAAGGCCTTGAGCAACCTGATCTAGTGAGGAGGTGTCCCTGCCCAGGGCAGGGAGTTGGGGCTGGATGATGTCTAAGGTCCATTCCAACCCTTAAATTCTATGATCTCAAACTCCCAAAGCTCTTGAGTTTATTGAAGTAAGACATACTAAATATTCCCTAGATACTTATAGTCTTTTTCAGTACATTTTTGCACAGTTAATTTCAAAAGTATCCTCCTGAACCATGTGGATAAACTTGTTCACTACTACAGATTTAGAGACAACACAGTAGGCACTACTCACTCTGCTCTTCCCTTTCCTGCACTTAGCAGAAAGGCCCAAAATACTGTTAGGCAAAGCTCTTAAGAAACATCAGGTACTGTATAAATCCTAGTGGCTATAGGCTAGTATACAACTCCCACGCAGAACTGGCTTTCTAGTTAACAGTTAAAACACTCCTTCAGTTATGGGACAAAACTTGGCATTGGAAGTGCATAAGATGTAATGGCCTTGAAAGGCTCTAATAAAACAGCTGCAGCAAACCCAGAAGAGAAAAATAAAACCAGACATACTTGGGTATTAAATATTCCTCATCCAATGCCTGTATTGCTCCAAATACTCACTCAGGATAACAGACTGAAGACTATTTTTACAAAAGACATTAGCGACTGCATAACTGAGGAACAAAGGCAAGTCAATAAAAAGGCATTAAGAATGGGAAGAGAAAAGCAAGAAAAAACACAGATGTTAATATATTGACGACAAATATTTTGTACTACTCCAGGTGAGCTACTGATAGTCAGCCTTGGATTCTGCTGTAACACCACCAGTTATACCACGCACCTAAAGTTCCTAATCATTCCAGGGTGTTGCATTGATTTAGAATAAAATGACCAGGATAAAGCTGAGAAACAAGAGGTGAGTTTGGTTTTTCAGTCTGAGGTTTTTTGATGGCTTGTTGGAATTTTTTTTGGATGGGTGTTGGGGTTTTTTTTCCCAATTGTCTGGGAAATCTGTATTAGTCAATTGCTGAAACACTGAAGGGAAAGGAGGTACAAAGTGAACTGACCTCAGCTGTGTGCTGAGCCTGCAGCTCTGAAAAATGATAGCCTGGGGTTCACACCCACTAAGAACCACTAAAAACAATCTCCTCTCCCATCCACAAACAAGTTAAGCTACAAAACAGAAGCTTGGTAGATGTTCCACGACCCAGAAAAAGAAAAAAGAACAATTCTGAGAGACTTTTTACTACTACAGGAAAGTTTAAACAGTACCTTTCAAGGGCCTCTCTGCATTCCTGAACATCTCTAGAAGAAAGTGTCAGTTTGACAAAGCTGGAATAGGCCAGCAGATGATCTTTCTTGATAGTTCTCCAGTTATTTTTATCAGACTCCAAGTCTTGTAAAGACTCCAGATATTCCTAAAGAAGAAAGTTCATCACAGGATAAGGAACAGTCATCCTTCCATGAAGGCAAGGGCAGTACTTCTCCAAAACACATTAGTAGCATTTACTGCATAATCCAGTTTCAGAGGTGAGACCTTAACACATTCTTCAGCAGCAAAGTTCCAGGGAACTATTTGCTTGAGCAATTTTATCCCTAATGGAACTATTATATTTAACTCAGCTTTTGAAGTTAGAAACTCAATAGCTCTATAAAGCTTAATTTTAGGGAGAAAATTCCAATTTTAAAAAAAGAAAAACCACAAGAAGCATTTTGTATTTCCACTGGTTTCAGTAGACTTGCATTTGAAGGAGTTAAATCCCTTGAGAAATAGCTGCCAGAGTAATGACACTATGAGAAATAGACCAGATAAAAAGATATGGAAGACTATCACAGGATCAAAATATGATTAAACACCTCAAATGTCTCTACAACACAGGAACACCATTCCAAGCTTGACTGCAAAGGGATCTTCTTCTCTGCCTCCTGACAGTGGAGCACAGCATCTTTTAATCTGTTGTTGGAACGGTAGAGTGCAACTAGTCTGATGTTTATGTAGATATCATCTGGTCTTGCATAAAGTTCTGCTTGAATCAAGTCAAAAAGCTGATTCCACCCATCTTCACCTTTACAATCCAGTAACTGCTCCTGTTAAAACATGAAGGCAACACATTAATACTTCATTTTATTTAATTTCCCACTTAGGTTTTCTTCCCTCCATTATACAGACTATATTTGCTACTACATTTCCTCTCTACAGCTCCCTGACAGGGTTGGAGAGGGGAGGGGGGATGGTCTCTCCTGCTGTGGCACACCTCAGTGCTGTGCTCAGCTTTGGGCACTCACTGCCTAAAGGCCATTGAGGCACTGGAGAGAATCCAGCCAAGGGCAACGAGGGCAGCAAAGGGCTGGAAAACCTGTGGGATGAGGAAGGGCTGAGAGAATTAGGGTTGTTTAGCCTTGAGAAGAGGCTCAGGGGTGACCTCCTGGCTCTCTGCAACTCCCTGCCAGGGTTGGAGAGAGGTGGGGGATGTGTGTCCTGCCATGGCTGCAGGGAGAGGACTAGAGGGAATGGCCTTGAGCTGAGCCAGGGCAGAGTCAGATTGGATGTGAGGAGAAATGTTTTCCCTGTGAGGGTGTTGAGGCACTGGGATATTGCCCAGGGAGGTGGTGGAGTCACCATCCCTGCAGGTGTTGAAGAGACATCTGGATCTGACACTGAAGGATCTGGTTTAGGGGTTGCAGCAGTGACAGGTTAATGGTTGGACTGGATAATGTTAGAGGTCTCCTCCAACCTTTATGACTGATTTTACTCTTCTAACAGTTTTCATATTAGAGACTCTAAACAATTTAGCCAGTAAGAGTTTCGTTTGAGGTGACATGCCAAGAGCACGTCAATGAGATGCTGGAAGTTTCTTCAAGTCACAGAGCAGAGGTAATTTTGAACTCACCTTCAACCTGTAAATAGCAGGACTCCCAGGGAAGAGCTTAGCAGCTCTATCCACCCAATATTTTGCTCTTCCATCAGTAATGTCATTATTGCATAGTAACTCTGCAATCTTCAACACAAGATCTTTCTGTGTTGGGTTCAGCTCCACAGATCGCTGGTTTTTCCCAGGAACACACGGGAGGAAAGAAACAAAGGAACTTGATCTTACGATCCACATACAACAGGTAAGGGTTACACCCCCAACAAACACACTCAGCTACTCAAATTAGCTAGACCTATAAATAAAGAATATAAGGAAAACCTTTCTAAATGTCATCAGTAGCTTACAGCACCCAGATGCAACTGCTGGAATTCAAGAGAGTGTAAGAGAAATAAGGTAAAAGCCAATTCCTCTGCATCTGCTACATGTCCCCAGTAGGACTATGAGGACCTCTAGCCTACAGAGGTGTCATAAATTAAGAGACACAGCTCAAAAAGTGCTTAAGCACTTCCTAGAGCTGTATTGGCCAAATTCTGAGCATATCATCTCCCCCCAAAATCAGAACAAAAGCATTTCGAGTGGGAATTTGACATTTATATGCTTGCCTAACCGAAATTAGATTTGCCCCTGCCACCTCCAACACCAAACAAACAAAAGACACACTAGGCCTACAGTCTTCTAGTAGCAACTACACTCCTGTTGTCATCACAGTCTGCATTAAGGAATTTGTTAATGGATTCAAGTACAGGAACCTGAAGGGCCAAGAGGATGGAGCCAAACTTTGCTCGGTGTGGAAACCAATAAAACAAGTGGGAACAGCAACAACTGATGCTCCAGAAAGTTCCACCTGAACATGAGGAAGAACTTCTTTCCTGTGCAGTCACTGAGTACTGAACAGATTGCCCAGAGAGGTCGTGGATTCTCCCTCACTGGAGATATTCCAGACCCATCTGGACACAACCCTGAGCCATGTGCTCTAGGCTGGCCCTGCTGGAGTAGGGAGGTTGGACGAGATGATCCACTGTGGTCCCTTCCAACCTGAGACTGTGAATTCTACAGCAGCAGTTCAAAAGGCAATGTATGACATGGGAAGAAATAAGCAGAAGGTAGCACAAAGATCAAGTTCAGAACAAAAAAACCAAAGAAGCAACTTAAAAAATATCCTAGTGAAGCAAGTGACACCAAGAGAACAATCTTGTCTGCAGTGCTTCATGTGCTTCCCACTGCCAAATGTATACAAATAACAGTTTTCCCAGGAGATACTTTTCTCCTGTGGGTTTCAGTATGTGCAGCACAGAAGGATTTTAAAAGTCCATTTACAAAGGCATAGAGCAGGACATTAGGGCTCAGTGTAGTACTTACCTTGTAACACCCAAAAGCTTTTTCTATGTTATCCTCAGCTTCGTAAATCTGCCCAAGGAATCTGTGTGCTTTGGGATCTCTCTCTTGCACACTGAGGTATGTAGATATGTATCTATGAAGGGGGCAGGAAAGTCACTTACTTGACCCATATATTGTTCAGTAATCCTCCCCCTCCCACCCCAAGCTATAATGGCAACTGAACCTGCCACACAGATAGTACAGATGTATTTTGTTCTAGATACTTTGTCTGGACCTTAAAGTAAGCAGCAACATCATTTATACATGTACAGATGCTACAGAATTCCTGTTTATAAAAAACAACCAGGAGTTCTCAGAAATAGTAACAACTGCTTAATACAATGAGGAAAACCAAAGCCACTTCAGCCAGATAAGTCTCTCAGTGCCACATAACTCATCTTCTTTCAAGTCACTGTTGTATATTTAAATAGCACTCAAGATCCACATTTACTGCTACCATGAAGCAGCAGGACATTGATCTTGGTTTCTCTGATCTGCTTTATATCAGCACAGCTTTTCTTTGACATTTCAGAGACCAAGAAGACCCAAACAGACATCACAATGCATGTTACCTTTTAGCAAGTTCATATTCTTTGATTTCAAAATACAGTTTAGCAAAGAGGAATCCTTTCATCGATTTCTGAAGGAGAAAAAACAGGACAGAGAGATGTTAGACATACAGTACTTCTAAAATAATTCCAGTGAGACCTTTCTTCTCAGCAATGCCTCAGACTTCAGCATTTGGCAACTAGTGACCAGATCCAATCCACCTGTCACATTTAAAGGTTTGCTTTTTGACAGATGTAAGTTTCAGAATAAAAAGAGTAAGAGTTGGGGCTATAATTGGCAAAGGCTACTAAGCAAAATAGAGATTACAAGTGAAGAAAGCAACAAGACTTGATACACATGGTACTTCAGACACTCCTCATTCAAGAGAGTGGAAGAATAGGGTGAGCTACATTTAATTTCTTTCATGGCACTGCAGCAATGAACAAAACCATCCTGCAAACCAAGACAGACCTGTCATTTAGCCCTACTGCAGCACACAGTCAGACTACTGTTTAAACATGCTTGAGGAAAAAGCAGTTTTTAACTGAAGTAATTCACAGTTAGGGCAAGAAATGGATTTATGCAGTAGTTTATTTCTGACACAGTCAGCTTAAGGTAACTTGAACATCCACACTGTGTAAGCAAAAGGTGAAACATCTCCAAAGGTGTTTTTGGGGGAGGCAGAACAAGGAAGTAGCAAAGGCAAAGCAAAAAGCAACATGCAGAGGGGCAGGCAGCAAGCAAGGTGGCAGAGGCTCGAAAGAGTGAAAGGAATGAACTGACAAAGTCACAGGCAAAAACCTCAAGGTTTAAAAACCAGACAAATTTAATGCTTGAGCTCCCAGTGTCAGCTCAAAAGCAATTGAGCTTGTGAACAAATACTGCAACTAACTAGTTACATCTATGACTGCAAACAAGTGCGCATCTTTAGAATAGGCTTGAAATCCTAATCTCCCTCCCTCTCACTCCTGCTAGCCATGCAGGATGCTAAGTGGTTTAAAATGAAAGCAGGACTCCTGAGATACTGCACGTGTTCAGCCTGCACTTCTGAAGTCTGTTATAGAAAAAACACACTGAAATGTCTCAGAGTGGACTCACATTTGACATCACCTTTTAAACCTGGATGCAAAGAAACCTCCAAACAGATGTTCTGCAGACTTATAAGCACCTTCTAAAATCAACACAACAGGCAAACCAGGAGCACCTGACTGTGCTAATACAATCACTTGTAAGAATCACTTATGAAACCAGTCCAAAACCTAAATATGCACCAGTTGGCCTTAAGCACAACAGAAAGAGAGTAGTTATTTTGCTCTTGAGCTCAGTAGGTGCACCACAGAATCATAGAATTTAGGGGCTGGAATGGACCTTACAGATCATCTAGTCCCAACCCCCTGACCTGGGCAGAGACACCACCTCACTAGATCAGGTTGCTCAAGGCTCACCCAACCTGGCTGTGAACACTGCCAGGGTTGGGGCAGCCACAGCCTCCCTGGGCAACCTGTGCCAGTGTCTCACCAAAACAATTACAGAGCACTTATGATTCTGACTGTGATGTACTTCACACTGCCTAGTCTAAACAGCAGCCAAGTCAATTAAAGGAAGCCACAGAACAACTTTGTTGCTGTTGGGGAAGAGGTAACAGATAATGCTGATGTACACAGGCCCTGCTGCAGAAGGGTGACTGTGGGAGCATTCACACAGCACAACACACTGCTGAGTATTCTAACTCGGCAATAAAATCCATTGTGAGCAGCAGAACAGGATCTTTCAGCTGCCACAAATTGCATCACACTGCTCACTGCAACCTGTAAATCAGATACAATCAAAGATGGGAACAAGTCATGCAGAGTTCCTCACACCTCTGTCCAGTTACTAAAATCCAGTAGGAAGATTTTATTTCCCCCCAGTTCCCCCTCTCTTAGTGCTGTTATACAGACGAGAACATTAGTCATACAACACAAAAAACCCTGACATTATCTCACACGTTCCTTTTTTCGGTTCTTCTTCTGAGAAACTTGGGAAAACTTAGGAACTAAACTCTTGAAACTGAACAACTCTGTACTCAGAGAGCTTCAAGAGAAGAGGCTCTTAAACACAGCAGACTCTTCAACCACTCTAGGGCTTAGGAGGTGTAAAACGTGGGTGATAAACCACTGCTCCAGGCTAGGGAAAGCACCTCCAGCAAGCAAAACCACACATCCCTCGGCAGCTTCGCCTCTCTCACTGGACTTACTGAAACCCCGAACCAACACGGACTCAGACACACTCCCAGAGACACCACAACTCGGAGAAAAAAATACGGTTAGAAGGGACATCGTACAATTTTAGGGGTTGGAATGGATGTTAGGGTTCATCTAGTCCAAGCCCCGCCCCGGCCAAGGCAGGGTCAGCTAGAGCAGGTGACACAGGACCTGGAACAGATGACATAGGAACGAGTCCAGGTGGGTTTGGAATGTCCCCAGCGAGATATCCCTGCACAGAGGAATCCTCTTCCCTCTCCAA